AGAGGAGAAAGATTGCAATAGAGAGAAAGTTTAATAGAGAGGAGAAAGATAGTGACAGAGAGGGAAAAGTTTGTAAGAGAGAGAGAAAGTGTGACAGAAAAGAGGAGAATGATTGTAATAGAGAGAGTGTGATAGGGAGAACCATGGTCAAGAGTGGTCCCAATCTACACCAAACAGATGGATGGGGACAAGGTCTCCAAAGTTCATTGACGTATGGAAATCCGCTCTCATGTGGTACGAACGAACATTAGCCCAACGTTCAAGATCAACACAAACCTGCACTGGTCCCAGGACAACAACAACATTACATTTATAGAGTGCCTTTCACGTCGAGAGGACGTCCACTCACAACCTCTGACTCAAGTGGAAACAGCAAACTGAGGACAGAGAAGAGCGAAGAGTAGAAAACAAAAAGTGATAAATAACTCAATTTCTCCAGAAAGAGAAATGTTTTTTAGGAAATAAACAAAAAAAATGACAAAACACCATTGGGCCATATGGGCAAATGAGGACAGTTATCTTAAGTGTCTGTCCACAAATACATACCATAAAAAATACAACATGTTAGAAACACAAATTCAGCATAAAGGGTCTGATGTAGTAGTCATTACAGAGACCTGGCTACAAGCCACAAATTACTGGGAGCTTAATGTTCCAGGCTGTAAGATCTGTGGAAAGAACAGGAAAATTGGGAAAGGAGGGGAACAATATGGATAACACTGAAGTACAGCAGTAGATTGAAAGAACAGGTGATCAGACCATAGAAACACTATGGGTAGAATTAAGGAACAGCAAAGGAGGGAAGACTCTGGTGGGAGTTGTCTACAGACTCCAGATAGAAACAAAGTAGCAATTTTTTGAGACAAATTACACAATAAAAGGAGAAGCCAAACTGGCCAAGAGTTGCTCACAATTGACATGGAGAGCAGGTGGACAGTGGTAATGTCTCTGAAGCTCACAGAACTGACAACACCCAAGGTTTGGACAACTTCCCTTCACAAACATTACTGACAATTTACAGCCCACCAGAAGGTTCTCACAAATACAGACTTACCTGATATGGTCCATAGAGAGACCAGCCTGAGCCAAACTCCACCACACACAAACTGACCATTTCACTGCTCTGAACCTCCAGCAACTCATCCGCACTCTCTAAGCTGATGAGGTGACTCCTTCCTCCAATGGTTTGATTGAGCTCAGCCTCTGGGTTAAATACCCAAAGGTTCAGGTTTGACATGTGGCCAATGAGCGAATCACATTCCTCACGAGGTCGAGTTGAAGGGAACTTCCTCCCTTCACAGCTGCAAACAGTCAGCATCATCACATGGGCTGTTGGCTATTGGATGGTTCAGAGATGGTTCACAGGATTTATATTCATTACTTTAGAGCATTCACACTTTCCTAGAATTTCCTATTGAATGCTTCAGAGACACCATCAAACACACCATCAAATCAGATCACAAACACAAATAGGTGTGAGAGAGGCGAAAGATTGCAATAGAGAGAAGGTGTGATAGAGAGGAGAAAGTTTGTGATAGAGAAAAGGAGAGAAATTGTGACAGGCGAAAGATTGTGATCGAGAGGAGAAATATTCTGACAGAAAGTGTGATAGAGAGAAGGAGAACGATTGTAATAAAGAGAGAAAGTGTGAGAGGAGAAATATTGCGATAGAGAGAGGAGCCTCTGGAGCTCTTGCAGCCGCTGGAGCTCTTGCAGCCCTTGGAGCCGCTGGAGCTCTTGCAGCTCTTGGAGTTCTTGGAGCTGCTGGAGCTCCTGGAGCCCTTGGAGCTCTTGCAGCCCCTGGAGCTCCCGGAGTCCCAGCAGTTCCTGGAGCTCCCGGAGCCCTTGCAGCCCCTGGAGCTCTTGGCCAATGAGTGAATCACATTCCTCACACATTCCAGTTGAAGGGAACAGTCAGTTTCATCACATGGGCTGTTGGCTATTGGATGGTTCAGAGAATTCACAAGGTGTATATTCATTACTTTACAGGATTCACACTTTCCTAGAATTTCCTATTCAATGCTCCAGAGACACCATCAGATACACCATCAAATCAGATCACAAACACTAACAGGTGTGAGAGAGGAGAAAGATTGCAATGGAGAGGTGTGATAAAAGATTGCGATAGAGAGAGAAAGTGTGTTAGAAAGATTGGAATGGAGGGAGACAAAGTATGATAGAGAGGAGAAAGATTGCAATAGAGAAAGTGATAGAGAGGAGAAATATCAAAGAGTGATAGAAAGGAGAGAGATTGCGACAGAAAGTGTGATAGAGAGAAAGTGTGATAGAGAGAAACAACAAGATTTCATTTATAGAGCGCCTTTCACGTCGGGAGGATATCCCAATGCGCTGGACAGTTGGGTCGGGACCCAAGCAGGTGGGAAATGGTCAGAGTGAGGGGAGGGAAGGGAAGGAGCGAGGAGGGGGTAGAGAGTCGAGAGGGGAGCTGAAGGCACGGTCGAAGAGAAAGGTCTTGAGACCGGCCTTGAAGCAGGAAAGGGAGGAAGCAAGGCAAAGGCACTGGGGGATGGAGTTCCAGAGCCTAGAGGCTGAGAGGCTGAAGGCCTGGCCACTGATAGCAGGGCGGTTAGGGTGGGGGATGTGGAGCAGACCGGAGCCAGAGGAACGGAGAGTACGAGCAGGTAAGTAGGGGGATAGTAGGTCGGAGAGGTAGGAGGGAGCGAGGCCGTGAATGGCCTTGTAGGTGAGGATGAGGATCTTGAATTCGATCCTCTGGGGGATGGGGAGCCAGTGGAGGCGAGCAAGGGTGGGAGTGATGTGGTCGCGAAGCCTGGTGCGGGACAGTACACGAGCTGTAGAGTTCTGACTCCTAAACCCTAATCCCAAACCCAACACCTAACCCCTACTCACAAACACTAACCCTACCCTGAAACCCAACATCTCAACCCCTAACCTGACCCATACCTCAACCCTAAACCCCAACCCTAATACCCCTGCCTGTAACCCAACCCTAAACCTAACCCCCAATGCCAACCCTAAACTCTAATCCCTAACACAGCTCCTACCGTTACCCCCAACCCTAAACCTACCCCACAACCCTACCCCCAACCTGAAGAAAATTTTCAAAGAAAATTTGATCAAAAGAAATTCAGCACATGGAATGCACAGGAACATGTGTAAAACTACCCCCAAAATTTAAAAAACTTAACCCTAACCCTAATTTTAATCACCCCTATTTGCTTAGCTGTTAAAAGACTTTTCTCTAGAAAAAAATGGCCATTCCTATCCTGTCTGTCCTGCAGTGACCACCCTTACAAGTTTGGGAATTGTCAGTTTCAACTTAAAAAAAAGCAGAAGATTTTATTTCAAATCAGGCTTTGATTCATTTCAGATGCATGCAATTAATTTTAGGAAAAAAAACAAATCTAGGAGATACATAACAAAAGTTCAAAATGCAACAAACAACAAGGGTGTGGTTCTCTGAGATGCTACCCCACGTGAAAGGATTTTTATCGCGAAGAAACGTGAATTTCTACCTGACATCGAAATCCCTGTACCCCACTTGCATACAAATGCGAGTTTTTGGAATGCAATAACAAATTTAAATTTATACTGCCCTTCATATCGGAAGAATGTCCCACAGTGCTGGGCAGTCTAGGATTTGCACCCAAGCTGGGAGCAGGGCCAAGGGTGAAAGATGGTCGAAGGTATGGTCAAAGAGGAAGGTATTGAGATGGACCTTGAAGGAGGAGAGGCGAAGGGCGGATTGGAGGAACTACAGTCTGGAGTTCCAGAGAGCAGGAGCACAAAAGCTGAAAGCTCACCCATCAATGGTGGGGTAGGCAGGGCGGAGGATGTAAAGCAGGATAGTGCCTGCTGAGAAGAGGGATCGTGTGGGTTGGTAAGGGTTTTAGGTCACAGAGGTAGGGTGGAGCAAGACCCTGGAGAAATTTAAAGGATAGGACAAAGATTTTGAAGTCGATCCTCTTGGGGAGCCAGTGAAGCCAGGTGAGAATGGGGGTGATTGGCTCCTAGAGCCTGGTGTGGGAGAGGACACGAGCTGCAGAGTTTTGGTTAGTCTGCAGTTTGTGAAGGGAAGAGTTGGGAAGTCCAACAAAGGGTGAGGTCATGGTGGAGGCGGACAATGTTGCAGATGAGGGGGTGAGCACAGAAGGAATGCAAAATTAAAATGGGAACAACATGTACATGTAAAATATGGTGCATAAAACAGTGAAAAATATATTTGTTTGGAAAATAAAATACACAATGGTGAAAGCAGAAACTGTTCTGAAATATCAAGCTTTCAGAGACAATAAGGCACGGCAGCAACAGCTTTCAAGTCAGGAATCAAAGTCCTTCAACACAGCATCATAATAGAGAGAATGTGCTGCAAAATAGAGGTTATAATAATAATAATCCATACATTTCGTACTTGTCATGTCGAGAGGATGTCCTAAAGAGCTTCACAGGATAGACTGTAAAGTGCAGTGATTGTGTTTTGTGGGACAACATATCCAATTATAATATTAATAATAATGCTTGCATTTGATATAGCGCATTATCGCATCTTCGAGACATCTCATGGTGCTTCCCAGGATTCACTGTAAAGTGTCGTGACTGTGTATTTCTGGGGGTGAAATTTTGCATTCAGCGATATCTTCATGAACAACCTTGAGACGAATGAACAATTTTATTTGATGGATTGTTGACCAGTTGAAATAAAGAGAAACTCCCTTCTTTTGGAAGCAGTTCAATTCTAGCTTTCAAAAGGGAATTGGATGTGCACTTAAAAAGGAAAAATACGCAGGACTATGGGGTAAAAGCGGGGGAATGAAACTAGTTAGTAGCTCTTTCAAAGAGCTGGCACAGGCACAGAGGGCCAAATGGCCTCCTTCTCTGCTGTAAGATACTATGATTCTTTTCCAATAGCACCACAGATGTCCTGAACACAGCAGAGACATTAAAATTTTACAAACAGTGACTTCCCCACAAACAGCTGTGAAACAAATGACTCATTTTATTTGAGAGATTGTCTGACAGCAACGTGGGAGATCTTTAACATCTGGCCTGAATGGGGCAAGGACATGGAGTGATGTCTAACATCTCATCCAAACTACAGCATCTCCGACAATACGGCGCTCGAACCTACAAGCTTCTGACCCAAAGGCAAGTGTGTGCAGCTGAATCGGGCTGACAGAGAAGCAAAGCCTGCATTAACTGGAAGTTGGTTTGCCTTTCGTGTGTGTACGACGGTGCAGTGCCAGGTTCCCTAGTCTGTTGAACCCCTTTTCGCACACGTCGCATGGGAATGATTTCTCTTTGCTGTGGGTGTGTCGGTGCCGGGCCAAGTTGCCGAGTCGGTTAAACCGTCGCTCGCACACGTCACAGCGGAACGGCCTCTCCCCGGTGTGTGTACGTTGGTGTACGGACAAGGCTCCAGCGGCGCCAAAACGCTTCTGGCAAACGTCACACTGGTATGGCCGCTCCCCGCTATGTGTACGTTGGTGCCGGGATAGTGTGCAGGGACGGTTAAAGCGCTTGTGGCAAACCAGGCACTGGAATGGTCTCTCACCGGAGTGCGTCCTGCGGTGCCGCGAGAGGGCACTGGCAGTGATGAAGCGTTTGCCACAGGCCTCACAGCGGAACGGCTTCTCCCCAGAGTGTGTGCGACCATGCACTGCCAGCTCCCCCGCTGTCTTGAAGCGTTTGCCACAAGCCTCACACCCGAACGGCCTCTCCCCGGAGTGCGTGCGCTGGTGCCGCAACAAGTCGCTTGATTTTCCGAATCGCTTGGCACAGCCTCACAGCTGAAGGGCTTCTCCCCAGAGTGTGTGAGTCGGTGCCGCGCCAGGTCCCCCGATTTGCCGAATCGCTTGGTGCAGGCGCCGCACTCATAGGGCTTGTCGCCGGCGTGGCTGCGATAGTGCAGGAGCAGGTCGGCCGCCGTGAGAAAGCGGCGCAGGCAGGCGGCACAGGCGAAGGGCCGGTCAGCACAGTGGGCTCGCTGGTGTCCCCGCAGGTGGCCAGAGCGGCTGAAGCCACGTCCACAGGAGCCACACTCGAACGGCCGCTCCCCGGTGTGCGCTCGCCGGTGCACATCGAGCTCCGAGGGGAAGCGGAAACCGCGGCCACAGGCCGAGCACCGGTACCGCGCCTGCGGCATAACACCCCCCACGGCCTCCCCACTCCCCCCGCACACCTGCCCTGCCTCTGTCTCCACATCCATCCCCGCAAACCGTCTGCCGAGCACCGTCTGCAAAGAGAGTGAAAATCAGCTCAACTAACAATGAATAAGTATGAGCTGCAAGAGAGTGAGTGTAACGGTGAGAGTGAGTGTGTGTCACTGTGTGTGTGTATGTGTATCACAGTGTGTGGGTGTGTCACAGTATGTGGGGAGGGGGCAAGGAGAGGTAGAGTTTTGGCTGAGAGCAGCTGTGAATGGCTGGAGGTGGGTGGACAAGAGGTGGTTTGAGATTTGATTTAAAATTGAATTCAGGAAGAAGGAAATGGGAAAGAGGAAGCGAGAGCACGAATGCAGGAAGCGACATCAACATCCCCAGTAGCTACTAATACACAAAATGTATTGAGTAAACTTAGCGAGATAGAGTGTGTAATGTGAACAAATAGTCTGCGGCGTTTACACGGACACGAGTCTCCCCACTCCTGCTCCTCACTCTCCTCTACCTCCTGTGTTCCCCTCTCCATTATGGGAACCTTTAGCTTTCTCTTAAAGGCTTCAACACAATTTGATTCCACCACTGGTTCATACAGTGAGTTCCACAATGTCGTTATCCTCTGCAGGAAGAGGTGCCTCCTAAATTCTCTTTCATATCGCCTCCCCACCCAACCCACACCCCCAGTCACTATCTTATACCTGGGTCCCCTGATTACAGACTTCCCAACTGGTGGCAACAGCCTGTTGATGTTAACCTTATTAAACCCTTTTATAATTTTGAACACCTCCATTCGCTCCCCTCTTAATACATCTCTTCTCTAGTGAAAAAAGGCACAACCTCTTCAGTCTGTCCTGCCAATAACCTTTGTGGAGTCCTGTAGCTCAGTGGTTAGAGTACTCGCTTTGCAAGCGAGAGACCTGAGTTCAATTCCAGGCAGAGGGCGAAACCTTGGGCAAGTTTCCTTACTCCACACAGAGCCTAATAATAATCCCTCCAAAACCAAAAACAATGATAAATTGGTTATTTTCAATCCACGACTGTTTGTGGGACATTGCTGTGCGCAATTGGCTGCCGCGTTCGCCCACAAATATACAGTCAATTCACTTTACAGTGTGTTCTGTGAAGCGCTTTGGGACGTCCTCCCGACGTGAAAAGCGCTATATCAAATGCAAGAATTATTATTATTATAGTAACCTGATCAACCTCATAAACCTTCGCTATTATATCGTTATAGTGTGGCCTGAACTCCAAATGTGATCTAACCAAGATTTTGTATAAATTCAACATCGACTCCTCACTTTTATAGTCTACCCATCTGGATATAAAGCCCTAAGCCCCATTGGTCGTTATACATCTGTCTATCTACTTTTAAAAGGTTGTGAATTTCAATGTCCAGGTCTGTTTGTGACTACTCCTACCATCTAGACCAGAACCAGCGGGAACCAAACATTTATATATATGTATAATGAACAGCAACGATCCTTACACATCACTTCTTACTTTTTTCCAGCCTGAGGTAATGTCCTTAACTGTTTGCTTTTGATTTTCTAACCATTCTTTTATCCACTCTGCTATTCCAGCCTCGATTTCTGACATTTGACCAAAAGTAAAATAATCCTTACATTGAAGCATTCTGAGACACTACCCTGCATAAAGAGCCCTAACCCCAACCCATAAATGCAAGTTGTTGTTGTACATTTGTAACAGCGCCTTTGATGTCGGAAAAGCTCTTCACAGGATATACTCTAAAATGTAGTGACTGTGTATTTTGTGGATGAAATGCAGCAGCCAATTTGCACAGAGCAGTGTCCCACAAACAGTAGTGGAGTGAGCGAACATTTTTCTCTGGGGAATCGTTACCATCATTCCGGGAGTGAGAATTCCCTTCTCATTTCAAATAACGCTATGGGATCTTTAATGTCCACCTGAACAGGTAGAGGGACATCGGTTTAACATCTCATCCAAAGGATGGCACCTCCAACCAGGCAGTGCTGCCCGCATGTGTATGTATCTCCTGAGTGTGTGTGTATCTGTGTGTGTGTGTATGTGTGTATCTGAGTATGTCTGTGCGTGTAAGTGTCTGTACCTCTCTGAGTGTGTCTGTATATGTACAGACACACTCAGAGAAAATATATAATCCTTGCATTTGGTATAGCGCTTTTCACGTCTTCTAGACGTCTCAAAGCGCTTCACAAAATATACTGTAAAGTGAATTGACTGTTTTTGTGGGCGAAATGCGGCACCCAATTGCGCACAACAGTGTCCCACAAACAGTCGTAGATCGAGTGACCAAATTATTATTGTATTTTTTGAAGGATTATTATTCCTGGAAAAGTGATCCACCAATCGACTAAAAAACAGGTTCCTATTTATTGCTAGGTAAACAGAGGGGTGTGGAGTAAGGAAACTTATCCAACATTTCACTCTGCCAGGAATCAAACCCAGGTCTCTCGCCTGCGCTGAACTACAGGACTCCACTTATTTATGTGCATTTGAGTATGTTATTTTGTGTGTGAGTATGTTATGTGTTTATATGTTATTTATGTGTGCTTGTTCATGTGTTTGATTATGTGTTATTTGTGTCCGTATATGTGTTATTTGAGTGTGTGTGTGTGTTATTTGTGAGTGTGCGTTATTTGTATGTGGAGTCCTGTAGCTCAGTGGTTAGAGCACTCACTTTGCAAGCAAGAGTCCTGGGTTCAATTTGGGCAAGTTTCCTTATTCCACACGCCTGATAATAATCCCTCCAAGACAAAACAATAATGAATCAGTTGCTTCAATCCACGACTGTTTGTGGGACGCTGCTGTGCACAATTGGCTGCCGCATTTCGCTCTCAAATATACAGTCAATTCACTTTACAGTCTATTCTGTGAAGCGCTTTGAGACTCTATAAGACGTGAAAAGTCCTATATCAAATACAAGGATTATTATTATTGTATGTGTTGTGTGTGTATGTGTGCACGTGTTGATTTTTTGTGCATATGTTCTTTTGTGTGTATGTGTTATTTTTGTGTGTGTGTTATTTGTGTGTGTGTTATTTGTATGTTTCTTATGTTAAGTGTGTGTTAGGTGTGTGTTATGTGTGTGTTATCCTCGGCCTAGTTCCCAGCAAGCGACTCCGGAATTAAGTGCATGTGTATAAAAAGCAGAGAGCGCTGTCTTACCTGACAATCACAGCGTTACACACAGAAGCTCTCCAGGGAATGCAGAGGGTAAACAGCCAGACTCGGTGCACAAAGTTTTCCCACCCGCAATCAGTCCTGGATAAATGGGAGACACACAGTGACTGGTGCAATGCAGCAGCTTTTAAAAAGGACTTTAAAATCTCTCAGATCGGCCACATTCCCACCAGGTCTTTGCAGAAATCACTCAGATGCGACTCACAAAGAAACCCTTTGGTTTCCTTCCTGTCCTGTCCTCCGCCCCAGAGCAGCAATTGGCTGCTGTACACTTGTCAATTCAGCTTCTGTGGAGTTGATTATTCTGGCATTATGTCTCTCCACCCCTTTCCCCTCCCCTCTTTACTGCCCTTCATTTCCCCTTACATTGATTGGATTCGGAGCACTGCTGATAACAGCATAGCCAGCCTGGCTTAGCTGGTTAGACTCCAGCAGTTACCCCAACGCATATTCTGGGGTCCCCAAGCCTTGGCTCTTGCCAACCCATGCCTAATACTTTCTGGAATTAGGTAAGCAGAATGTGGGGTTCAGGTGCGCATTCCAACAATCTTTCTCTGGGATTTCCATGTGTAAGTGGGATGCATCGAATTCTCAGTTTGGTTTGGAGTCTCTTAAGCACGATGATAGGTTTCAGTGTGTGTCAGACACCCAGCTGACAAAGAAAAAATCGCAAAATCTATTTGTGAGAAGCATTCAGCTGGACTGGTATAGAGGTCTGAGGGAGTAAATTTAGCAGAGTCCATCCCTCCAATCTCTCCCTAAAAATTCTCATGTATCATCCTTTCAAACCCACCAGCACTTTCCTCTCTGACATCTCTCCCCTCCTATCTTCCCTTAGCCTCTGTTCTGAACACCTCTTCACCTTGGGTGCCTCAGCCTCCATTTTACCCCTTCCTGCTCCACCTCTGCTGACTTCTCCCTTCTCTTCTCTCACAACCTTTCCCTCCATTAACTCCGCCATTCACATTTATGAAGATGAAGATGTTATCCCAAACCCCATCTACCTATTCAGATGGATGTTAAAGAGCTCCCTCAGTGCTATTCAAAAATAAAAAGGAGTTTCTCTTTCCCAGTGTCCTAGTCAACAATGAATAAAAATTGCTCATTCAGTACATGTCTATTTGCGGGGACTTCTCTGTAAACAAAACAGTCACTGCACTTTACAGTATATCCTCTGAAGCACTTTGGGAAGTCCTCCTGATATGAAAGGTGCGATATCAAATGCAAGGATTATTATTAATAAGACTAATAGGGGAGAAAAATAACAAAAAGCAGGGTCAAAGAGGAAGGTCTTGAGGCAGACAATAAAAGAGGCCAGGGAAGAGGAAAGTCACCGTGATTCTGGGATGGAATGTCAGAGACTGGGGGAGGGAGGATGAAAGACTCGCGGGCGATGGTGGGCAGGGCACGTGCCAGCTTCAGGGTCAACAGGGTTTGAGGAGGTCGCAAAAGTGGTGGGACAAGACACTGGAGGAGTTTAAAGATTAGGATGAGGATCTTGAAATTGAGCACAACTGCACAGCACTGGGGTCAATGCAGCAGTGATAGGGCAACACATGATTGAGTTCTTGGTCTTGACTTAGGAAATAAAATGGGGAAAGTGAGTAACATGAGGTTTGGGAGCATCCCAGAAACAGTGAACACATTATTAGGCTTCATATAAAATGTATTAATAATAATAATCCTTGCATTTGATATAGTGCCTCATCATGTCCTTGAGATATTTCAGAGCGCTTCACAGATATACTGTAAAATGTTTTTTGAATGTGTGTTTTGTGGGTGAAATTTAAAAGAGTGAACAGTTAAATACAAAGGTATCCAATTTGAAAACAGGAAATTTCAAAGTATTTTCAAAGCTGAGCTAAAGAGTATACAAACAAAATAAGCATATATTCTCTATTATTAAAGGGAGAACTATTAAAACTACAGTTTTTTGGGTGAGTGGAGAAATTAAAATAAAAATTCAATAAATGTAAAGATGTTAATACAACAGAAAATCTGTCTGTGTGTAGAAAATGGAAACAAAAAAGGAGATTCGAAAGGGAAAGAGGATAGACTGGCAAGGAACATGAAGAAAAAATACAAAAGGATTTTATAAACACAACAAAAGAAATCACAGAAAAGATAGGGACAAGTATAAGCGAAATGGAGAAATCTAATAGAAAATGAAAGTCTGGCAAAGAAACTTAAAGAGCAGAGAAATGTCAATGGGGATGTGCCTCAGGAGACCATCAGTCACAGCACTTGTGAAGACAGGCATCAGGTCCACATTGTCCTTTGACAATTTGTGGCCTAGAGAGTTGGTGGGGGGTAACAACCTACCTTCCCATTTAAGGAATATATTTCGGTCCAATTCACCTTTGTGGGGGATGAGTGGGGACAACCTCGCTCACCCCAAAACAACTTCTAAAAGAGAATTTAGAAGGAACTACTTCACCCAGGGCTCTCACTGGAGTTGAATTGGCTCCAAGGTGACCTGTTTGTCAACAGATGTTTGGCAACTTCTGGACAAAGTGATGAAGAGGAACGTTCGGGGAGATCTTTGTGAAATCTCAGATCACAAAGCCAAAGCTCAGAACAATACTAACAGAGATCCATGAAAAGGGAGAAATGCCTTTATTTAAAACCTATATATCGTATTTCCTAAAAAATAAGCACTTTTTTTTGGGGGGGGGGGGGGGGTCAGCCAGGTTTCTGACACATGTGGAAACCCATCACCGTGCTTAAGAGTTTCCAAACCAAACTGAGAATTCTATGCATCCCACCGATACGTTGAAATCCCAGAGATAGATTGCTAGCTGCCTCATTTCGCCCACAATATAAACAATCAATTTGCTTCACAGTATATTCTGTGAAGCGCTTTGGGATGTCTAGAACATGTAATACCACACTATATCAAATACAAGGATTATTATTATTATTTCCTGGTTATTTTAGAAGCTGTTTACAGAAATCTACATTTTAAAATCCCTTCTGGATTTCTTTAAACCTTTGATAACTCGTACTTTTTTCCTGACAGCAATGAATTCTTTCAACAAATCTGTCATGTTCTGAACTTCTACTGCTGTTACTGGTCGGTCACTGAGGGCAGGGATTTTTCCCTCTCAACTCCTGTTAACCCAGCAAGTAAAAGCCCTAACAGGTAGGGTGGTCCTAGCTGGACAAACTGTGGGAAGTTTGACGGTGCTCTGAATGCCAAGCTACCCTGTTTTAGTTGGTCAGACTCCGGCAGTTACCTCCAAGCAACAACAACAAAATGGATTCATATAGCAGAGAGGAGTGGAGGGCATGGAGAAAAGATAACCAAAGGCTCAGTTGAAAAGAAAGGTTGGGCCTTGAACAAGACAAGGGAAGAGGCAAGGCGGAGGGGGTCCAGATAGCAAAGTACACTTGGGTCACCAAGCACTGGCTCCCGTGAACCTGGATTTAATAATCTCTGAATTGCATAAGCAGGAGGAGTTCCTCTAAATTTGTGTACCATTCCAATACACAGTGATTCCTTTGTGTAGACATGGAATTCTCACTTCGGTATAGAAATACTTTTTTTGGTCACCTTGTGAAGGCTCAACCTGTTGCCAACCTGTGCCTAATACTTTTTGGAATTAGGCAAGCAGGATGCATCCCTCCAAGGAGAGAGTACGCATTCCATTCTATGTGTAGATTGAATGCATGGAACTGTCAGTTTTGTTTGGATATTTTTAAGCAAGGTGATGGGTTTCCACATGTCAGACACCCTACCGACCAAAACAAAACACACACTATCTCATACATTCACATTCTCACACACAGGGCAGTGCTGATAGCTGCTGCAAACAACAACAACAACTTGGATTTTTTTAAAACAACAACAACAATAGGAAGGATGTTGAGGCATTGGAAAGGGTGCAGAGGAGACTTACGAGGATGGTACCAGGAATGAGGGACCTTGATTATGAGGAAAGGCTAGAGAGGCTAGGATTATTCTCATTGGAGCAGAGAAGGTTACGAGTAGACCTAATCGAGGTCTTCAAAATCATGAAGGGATTTGATAGGTTAGAAAGGAAAAAATTGTTTCCACTGTTGGGTGTGTCGGTGACTCGAGGTCATAGATTTAAAAGAAGCAGAGGGGAGGTGAGAAGAATTTTTTTACGCAGCGAGTTGTTCGAATCTGGAACACATTGCCTGAAAGGGTGGTGGAGGCCAATTCGATAACTACTTTTAAAAAGCGGTGGACAGGTATTTGAAGAGAATGGGTTTGCAGGGTTATGGGGAAAGGGCTGGGGAGTGGGATTGACATTAATTGCTCTACTCAAAGAGCCGGCAAAAACTCGATGGGCCGAATGGCCTCTTTTTGTGCTGTATGATTCTATGAACTTGGATTTATATAGTGCCCTCCACGCCAGATGGCGTCTCAGAGCTTCACAGTAACGGATTCCGGGGCCGAGTCGGGGGGGGTGTGGGGGGGTGAAGGTGACCAAAGGCGCGGTCGAAAAGAAAGGTCTTCAAACCATACTCCTGGCTCAATAGTTAATTTCAAACATTGTGAAACCAACGCACATTTATTTCACTGCTTCAACCTGGCTGTGAGTTTAAGAAGTTGAGCGAATGGAAAAAGCACCCCATTTCTCAGCTCCTCTCTGAACTTCCTCTGGCTCACCACATAAATGCACGTGTTTGTGCCGCAGCTGAAAAGCTGAAGCATAACTCCCACTTCTTGTCTGATGAACAGAGGATCGTCCACAATATAATAATAGTAGTTTTGTGTGATTCGGCCATATATGCCATTGATAACGTAAGTCATCCAGAGCAGAATAAAACTGCCTGAAACAGCAAAGAGTAAAACAATGGACTTCCTGCGGCTCTCCATCTCCGGATCTTTACGGTTTCTGGCATCGTTGCCGGACCGGAGTCTCCTCCGGGCTCTGCCGCTCACCAGGATATACCTGACAGTCAGAGCATTGAGGAGCAGAATCAACAGAAACGGGAGCAAAGGATTCCAAATGTACAGAATGTAGGCATAGATTTTCCATCCTAGAACCGAGTTAAAGCTCTGAGTGTGGACACAGCCCCAGGAGACGTTGTTAATCATGTAGCGAGGCCCGAATATAAAATACTGCACGATGCTCTTCAGACAGTTGATGATAACGAAGATGCCGATCACCTTGGATGCGGTTTGGTTTGTACAAAATGTTGCTTTCAGCTTTTGGCAACAAATGGCTACGAAGCGATCGAATGTGAAAGCGACTGTGAACCACACAGAGC